TAAACTTGTTACAAATAATATACTAAACTGAAATAAAGTAGTGGGCTGTTAACACATGTGCTTTTCTGTATTTTCATATTTTTTTCTACTACTTTAACATGCAATTTAAAAAACCCATTAGAACAATAAGGAAAACAAATACTGGAGTCCCTCCCAGTCTTAGAACTCTCACTCATCATTCCTCCTTCATGCCATCCAGGTTCCCCAGAAACCACTTGGGGTTAACTGTATGAAGATGATGAGGGGGCTGGGGTCATGGCTCAGTGGTAGAGCATTCGCCTAGCATGTGCAAGGCACTGGGTTCAATCCTCAGGGCCATATAAAAATAAATAAATAAAATGAAGGTATTAGGTCCAACTACAACTAAATTTTTAATTATGGCAAAATATGCATAATATAAATTTTTTAAAGAAGATGATGAGGGTCACAACCTAAGGCAGGACCCTGCAGCACAGCCAGCCTGAATGAAATAATAAAGGAGCAGGGTGCACAGCCAGGCTCTCCTCAGCTCTCAGTCCCAGGATGGGGCTCTCTCCTCACCAACACCACATTTCCCACACTTTACATGTAAGTAAAACTTCTAGGGCATCTCCCTCAGGCAGCTCTGAGGAGAAGGGAGCTTCAGGCGTCCCTCGAGGCAGGACCCATGGTGTCCCGGAGCCAGGCGGCTCAGTGAGGCAGCTGTGAGAAGGGAGCTCCAGGAGTCCCTAGAGACAGGACCCACAGTGTCCCCGAGCCAGGCTCTCAGGAATTGGCCCTGAGAAGAAAGCCCAGGCCTCACGGGAAGGAGGGGAGAGCAGCATCAAAGATGGGGGTGAGGCCACACCCAGCAGGACGCTGCTCTCCTGGCTTCTTGGAGGATCCCAGCCCTGTCTCCGCCCTTGGCTGTTCCTGGATGAAGTGTGTTCCCACTGCGGTCACAGGTCTGGCAGTGTTGTCTGTGGCATCTGGAGTGGAATCTCAGGAGAGGAGAAAAGGGAGTCCAGGAGAGCCCTCCCTGTGTCCCAGGAACGCAGGGAGCTGAAACTCCAAACCTGGGCTTTTGTGTTCCAATGAATAAAGTCAGACCCCTGGAGTTTTTGACCTTAGCTGGTCCTCTCCAGAACAATTACGATGCCCATCCTATTTAGGGGACTTCATCTACAGGTCAGTCCCATGTTAATGTGAGCACTGGGGTCGATCGCTGGTCAGAAGTTACCTGAGTGTGCTGAGCTACTAAAGGAAACTTCCTTCCCACACAAATGGAGACAACTTTAGCCATAATTTCTAGCTTCACACCAACCTCAGTGGACCCTGTCAAGAGCTAGTCCCATTAATCCTTTCTTTTTTATTTATTTTTATTTTTTATTTATATATGACAATGGAATGCATTACAATTCCTATTACATATAATTTTTCATATCTCTAGTTGTAAAAATAGTATATTCACACCAATTTATGCCTTCATACCTGTACTTTGGATAATAATGATCATTACATTCCACTATCATTAATTACCCCATGTCCTCTCCCTTCACCTCCCACCCCTCTGCCCTATCTAGAGTTCGTCTATTCCTCCCATTCTCCCGCTCCCTATCCCACTATGAATCAACCTCCTTATATCAAAGAAAACATTTGGCATTTGGTTTTGGGGGATTGGCTAACTTCACTTAGCATTATCTTCTCTAATTCCAACCATTTACCTGCAAATGCCATGATTTTTAATCCTTCTTTCTTGATGTGTCTTCCCATTAGCTCCTTTATTTTATGCTTCTGTTTATTTTCTACAAATCAACTACCACCCTTTGCATTCTCATCTACTTTGGAAGTAGTTTAAAGAAGACCCTAAAGTAATTTAAAGAACACTTGTGACCTTGCCTGCATTTCACTGCTCATCTCTAGCTACTACCTAACACCTGCACCACAGCCCTATGCTCCACCAGGCCAAGTGCTGCTGCAGCCAGGGGCCAGGTGGGCAGACATCGGCAGCTGCAGGAGTCCCCCAGACACTTCACTCATGCACCCAAAAGCAGAACACCAGAAACAAGCCACTGCAGAGGTCTCTGGGCAGTGTGGTCTTTGAGACAGAGTGACTTGGCAACAGGCTGCCCAATTTGAGGATCATGATTTTTAAGGGAAAAAGTCATGGCTGGATGTGGTGGCACACACTTGTAATCCCAGTGGCTCTGGAGACTGAAGCAAGAGGATTGCAAGTTCAAGGCTAGACTCAGCAATTTAGTGAGCAACTTAGCAAGACCCTGTCTCAAAATCAAAAATAAAAGGGTGTGGCTCAGTTGTTAAGCATCCCTGTGTTCAATACCTGGTGCAAAAAAACAAGTTATATCGAAGTCAATGGTGGCCTCTGTCGAGGTGAGGAGAGCCTGACTTCAGATCAAACCTCCTGGTGGCCTCTGGGAACATCAGCTTTATCCCCGTGCCCTGGAGCATTCTAGATAATTCCTTCTAGATAATTCAGTTCTCATTGTGGATGCCTCTGGGATCTGCAGGCTACACGTTCATTCAGAATTCCCAGGGATTCTTGACTGTGTAATCTGGTGTTCTGCCCACACTGCCCTTGTCACAGAGGACCATGGGGGCTGTGTGCCATGTGCTGGTCCAGGAACCCTGGAGGACCCTGCCAGTGTAATCTGCTCTTCTGGCCATTTAGCCCTTGCCACAGATGACCTGAGAGCTTGTGCTACATGCCAGTACGAGCACCCTGGCAGACCCTGGCAGTGTTGTGTGGTGTTTTTCCCGTGTATCCCTCACCCCAGAAGCTTATGGATGCTGCAAGTAGCACATACCCCCAGGATTCTGCCTAGTGTAGTCCAATATTCCACATTACAGCCCCCATTGTAGAGCCCCTGGGAGCTGCAGGCTACCTCATCACAGGGAAGCCCCTGGGTTTTCTGGGAAGTGTATTCTGGTGTTCTGCTCATGCAGCTCTCACTACAGAGGTTTCTGGGAGCTGCAAAGCTTCAAGGATCAGGGACATTGTGGTATGGTGCTATGTTGGTGCAGACTACACTATAGTGACACCTCTGAGCCCCAGGAATTCTGGGTATTGTAGTCTCCATTCTACTGAGGCAGCCCTGACCTCAGAAGTCTCTGAGAGATGTGGGCCACTGATTATTCTGGGCAATGCAGTCCATCTTCCCTAAGTAGACCTCACCATCAAAGCTCCTGTGATCTTCCTGGACACCCCAGATAAGTCTAGGTCCTCAATACAAAGCTTGTTTATGCAGCCCTCAATAGGGAGGTGTCTGGGTGCACCAGGCCCCAAGGGATTCTGGATAGTATAATCTGGCTTTCTGCCTGCACAACCCTCACTGTGAGGTCTCCAGGAGTTGCAGGCTGCACACTCACCTAGACAACACCACCTTCCAATGATTCTGGGTAGTAGAGTTAAGTTCTCTGCTCTACTGTTGTTACCACAGAGGATCCTTAGAGCTACAGCCTCTGAGGGCTGTGAGTCATGCAGCCAAGTGTTTTGCCCACTCACTGCAGAGGATTACCGGAGCTAAAGCAGTCTATAATTTGACCTATGCTGCCCTCACTGAAGGCTCTGGTAACGGCAGGCCCAGAAGATTCTAGGTAGTGCAGGGTATTCTGCCCTTTACAGCTCTCACCCCAGTCTCTCCTGGGAGCCGCTTGCTGCATTCTCACAAACCATCCTGGGGACTCTGGGCAGTGTAGTCCAGGATTCTGCCGCTTAGCACCCACCAAGAAGGGGCCTGGAAGCTTTGGCCTGTGTGCCTGCCCTGGTACACTGAGGATTCTGCGTAGTACATCCCACAACTGCCTGCCCAGCCAAGTATTCTCTACAAAGGCCTCTGGTACACTGAGAATGCAGAGTAGCACATCTATCCCAGAGACTGCCTGCCCAGCCAAGAATCCTACACAAAGGCCTCTGGTAACTGCAGGCCACACGGTTGCCAGGAGCCCCCATTAATTCTGGGCAGTAGTGGTCTGCCTAAGCAGTTCTCACCAGAGGCTCTTGGGAACTGTGGGCCTCAGAGGATTCTGGGTAATGCCATCCAGCATTCTGCCCACATGACCCTCAGTGTATGGCCCCTAGGAGCTGCAGGCCATATGCTGGCCCTAGTACCCCAGGGATCATGGGTACTGCAGCCAAGAAACTGCCCATGCAGCCATCACCATTGTGATACTTGCCAGATGGCCCACCCCACTGGGAATAGACTCACTTAGCAAATCCCCAGCATCATTAGGTTTCTTCTAAAATATTGTAGTCATGTATCAGAAAGAAGTCCTTAATACAGCCACAATTTAAAATAATCATAATTCTTTAATATCTAATACCCAATTAATACACAGATCTCTCTAGCTACTTCAAATAAATTTTATAGTTGGACACAAATTGGGTTCAAATTAGGAGCATTTATTGCATTTGGTTAATATATCTTAAGTCTTCCTTTACCTGTCACCTACTTATTGACAAAGGTGGTTAATTTATACTGTAGCTCTTCAAGTCTGTGTTTTGCTTCTTTGTTTTACTTCATAGTGCATGGGATTGAGCCCAGGTCCCCACGCATGCCGGGTACCACTCTACCCCTGACCTACAATCCCACACACAAGGTTCTTCTTGTAACCAACACAAATACAAATATTGATGGAGTCGGCTAACCATGAACTGAAACTCTGAATCCATGAGCCCAAACTAAATTCTTCCTCCTGTAAGTTGTTCTTGTTAGATACTTTGGTCACAGCAATGAAAAGCTGATGACTTTCAGCAATGTCCACTAGATTCATTTATAAAAGAACCCAAGCCACAGAAACCTGCATGAAACAATAATCCTTCTTTATGCCACACAAATATTTTTTATTTGTTGTATGTGCCACAGTATGGAATAGTTGGCAAATAAAATGCTCTATCTTATTTCTCTTTTTGCCATTTTTTATTTGTTCTTTTTAGATATACATGACAGTAGAGTGTATTTTGACATATTATACATACATAGAGTATAGCTTATTCTAATTAGGGTCTCATTCTTGTGGTTGTACATTATTTGGAATTATACTGGTCATACATTCATATATGAACATAGGAAAGTTCTGTTCGATTCATTCTACTGTTTTTCCTATTCTCATCCCTTTTCCTTCCCTTCATTCCCTTTGTCTAATTCAATAATTTTCTATCCTACCCTCCCCGCACCACCACTTATTGTGTGTTAGCATCCGCATATCAGAGAGAACATACAGCCGTTTTGTTTTTGAGATTGGCTTATTTCACTTAGCATGATAGTCTCCAGTTCCATCCAGAAATAATAACTTTTTAAAGTAGTTGGTAACCTTATTTTGTGGTGAGATGGTTCTTGATAGATTCTCTTGAGTATTTGATATTGGGCTGAGAAATGAATAAAAAGTTTTTAAATCTTTTGATTCTAGAGCACAGAAAAGGAGGAGATTATGTAACGTCTTTGAAAGAGGAAAAAAGAAAAATAAAATGGACCTACCAGGAAAGTAAGGAAGAAGGGAAGGGAGGAAGGACAAAATGAGCACAAGCTGGGCATGGGGGTACCCGACTGTAATCCCAGCCACTCAGGAGACTGAGAGGAGGATCCCAAGTTCAGAGCCAGCCTCAGCAATGGCAAGGCACTTAGCAATTCAGTGAGACCCTGTCTCTAAATAAAAATACAAAATAGGGCTGGGGATGTGGCTCAGTGGTTGAGTGCCCCTGAGTTCAAAAAAGAGCACAAAGTACAAAAAAAAATCCCCAGTACAAAAAAAGCACAAAGTTGAAACAAGTTTTATTTATAGACCATATGGTACACATTCTCAGTGGTGCCTCTATCCTGCCACCATCTACCATAAAACAGGGAGGACTATGCCTCTTCCAGCAGGTGGTGCCACAATAACCTACCCTAGGAATGAGAGGCAATGAAAGTAGAAATCACTCTTTCTCCCTCAATATCAACATATATGTACATTTTAGTTGACATCAGAAGTGCATGCTGATTGTTCAAGTATTTCCAGAAGATTCATTCCTCTATGTGTTACCCATTCACTAGTGTGGTTCACTGAAAGATCACAGTGCTCTACATGAAGTCAACAGATTAGAAATACAAGTGCTCCGCATTGCTTCACTTAAGGAGCACCTTCTCTAGTGGTGCTGATACTTGCCATGAGCAGGTTATACAAATTAGCTAGAGAGGAGGGAACTTAGACGGTACCATTTTCACAAGCCTTTCCTGATCTTCAGGTGAAGATTCTCTATACCCGAATATCTCCCTGATGCTAAGCAACCTCTCAGACTGAGGGAGGACCCTGTGCCGGAGATAGCGTGCATTTTTGACCTTTGCGAACAACTCTGAGAAGGCTGGCTTTGTGGTCTCACCTTTGCAGCCTCCTACACATTCCACAGAATGTGGGGGAAGTTGTTCCACAGCATTCCTCCATGGCTTTAGACTGGCATCTTTTGATCTAATCTCATCAAGGTTGACCATTCCACTACCACAGGTACTGCTGGAAGCCATTTGGTCTTGATGTGCCACAGAGGTGTCCTTGTTGGGGTCTATGCCCTGAGGTGGGATTACAGACTCCTTCTCCTGGGCTGGCAGCTTCTCTGCCATGAAGCAGGCAGTTCTGTGACTCGGAGATCGCCAGTTCTCTTTCCTCCTGGTGGGGTTTTTGAGGCCAGTGTGACATAAAGGAGGCATCTGGGACTTGATTTTGTACATTTCCTGGGTCGTGTTGGTTGCCAATGCTCTGGGAAAAGAGGTAAGAAGAAGAAAGATCTCTGGAAACTGAGAAGAGACTCACATTTAGACTTCTGGGTCACTGTATGGCAGCTCCATCAGTGTGGAGTCTCCTGAGTCACGGGAGTGTGGGAGTGGAAGCAGGTGAGAATGGAGGCTCTGGTGAGCTGACGTGTCTGTCTCAGCAGAGGAAAGCAGCATTTCCTCGGGGACTCAGGAGATGAGGAATTTAGGGTCACACGCGTGCACTTAATGAGTATCTTCTTACCTGACTTCATGTTTTGGAGGTCTGTGCTTCTGTCCTTGCTGTGGTGGGAAACTGAGGACACATTCTGGCCTTTTCTGAGTTCCATTCCCAAGAGAAGACAATCTCACCTTGACAATATCTGCCTTGAGTTAATGGAAAAGTTCATGGGAGAAATTGTGCTCCATAACTTGGCACGTTGTGGCCCCAGCCCCAGTGCTCCACCCCTCAGGCTCTTTCCAATAAAGCAAGGCCTTTAGGGTGGGTCCTGATCCATTTGAACTGAGACACGTGGGACACAGGAGGGCACCCTGTGAAACACATGGAGAGAGGACAGCCCCCCACCTGCTGGAGAGGTCACAGCCCTTCTCCTCTCCAGTACCCACCTGTGCAAGGGGCAGCCCCCCACACACACACTTTGATTTTGGCTCCTAGACTCCTGAGTCAAGAGATCATGAAATTTCTGTTAAGTCACCTGGCTTGCTGTGCTTTGTTAGGGAGCCCTGGAGAACAAATAAGAGAAGAAATTCTGGGAACAAGGCTCCAGTGTGTGGCATTTTCCCGTCACATACCGGGCCGATCTGGCTTAACCAAGGAAACAGAAAGCCTTTGTGCAGCTCTCAGTGTTTATACATACCATGTTGGAGAGGGTTTATAAACATCAAGAACAGAGTTTAAACAGCCCTGGCCCATGGAAGTTTACTTGGCAAGCACAGTGTTTTCAAAGACAAAACAACTGGTGTGAGCTTTTTGTCTCATTCACTGCAATTATGTGACCTGTGCACCGATGGCAGGAGTTTGCAGCCGCCAGCCATGATCAAGGGGACTCCACCGGCTGAGGGGATATCTCTTCACCCTGGTCTAACTGCCATAGGGAACCCCCACGTTCTCAAGACATCTTACAGGCTGGTCACTTGAGGATGAGAGTCTCGGAATAATATGCTTTAAAGAGAGCGAGTCCCCTGAGGGCAGCGGTTAGCTCAGTGGCAGAGTGCTTTCCTCGCCTATGCAAAATTCTGAGCTTGATCCCCATGCCACAAGAAATGAAGACAGAGCACACACAGGCAGAACAGTGGTCGGCAGGTACCAGGTGGGGATGAAGAATTCACATTAAACTTCTAATCTCTGCAATCTGATCACTTCTTTGTGAAGCAGTTGGACAAGAGATAGTCCTTTGTGGGCCACTCTTCTTTGGCAGTCTCCTTGGGGAACTCACCTGTTCCCTGTAAACTAAGGAATGGGGAGCTGCTCCTCCTGCCAAGCCACATGTTTGCAGCTCAGATCTGTTGGGCTGGCAGGTCCAGGAAAGAGCTTATTGATTCTCTGCAACATGTTGTAGAGAATCTCCCCAGCACACCCTCTGTGGAGGCAGACCCTGCATCCTCCTCACATCCAGCCAGCCAGTCCACGAGTCTGCACCTTGGTTCCTTGGACAGGATATTAATCATAAGCCTCTCACAACTCTATTTGCTAAATACCTTGGGAGGCTGACCAGTGCCTGAGTTCAGCCCTCAGGTCATGCCTGCACTCTGGAATTGTATCAGATCTGCTCTGCCTTCACCCCGGGGCAGAGTGAGCCCCAACATGTGAGCAGGTGATCTCCCCACTCCCAGCCCTGCAGGGGAAACCTTGTTGCAAGACCTGTGGAGCTGTCTGTGACTGGAGACGCTGGCTGTCCTGCATTGCCTCCAGCAAGCCGCCCTTGCTTCCTGCAGCTACCCTACTGCAGCACTGTGCAAGCTGAGCTCACTTAGCATCTCATGCACACTGCAGGTTTCTGCAAGGGTTGGCCCTTCCTGCCCTCCTGACAAGTGCCCTATCCCCCTCACCCCTTCTCCTCCAGGCTCTGCTCACATACCACCTATTTTAGGAGAGCTTCCTGAGGGCCCTTGACAGACATCAGGAGCTTCCAATGCTCCTGCCCAACTTTGTAAGTAATTCTAATTTAGCAGTTAGCATTCTGATTTTTTTGTAAGCACAGCTAATTTCCAATCTAAATATGAACATCTCAGGAGCAAAAAGCACGTTTTTCCATTCCAGCTTCCGAGTAACCATAAGAGTGTTTTGTAAAGGTGATCTGTGAAAACCTTACCCAGAACAATCTGCCTTGGTATCCATAAAAAACTGGATGTTTGAGCTTAAATTTCCAGCCTGTTAATTCAAATCTCTGAGGCACCTGGCGATGTGCATCTTAAACAAGCCACCAGTGGTACAGAGTGTTAAATGACCACGGAAGAACACTGCTAACTAGTGTCTGAAAAGCACCAAGACAAAGCATGTCTCTTCTTCCCTTTACCCCTTTCGACTGTTCTTAGTTGAGAGAGAGTATGACCTTCCAAAGAACATGGAGAGGGGGCCTGGTATCGGGCCCTCTACCTCCTGGTCCATACTCTGCCACACACCTGCAGCCGAGGCAACTGCTCAGCAAGACATCCTCCTGAGAATGGCCACTGAGTCACCATAGCCTCTAGAGATCAGTGGAAATCAACCAGTGTCCTCAAGGGCATTTCCTGGGCCCTGCTCTTGTTCTAGGTAGTTTAGGTATTCTCTGAAGAGACAGGAAAAAAAGCTCCACTGCGTGCTCAGAGTCACCCTTCAATCCCAAGGAGACTAGAAGTGATTATATGTAGCTTGGCCCGATGTCTGGACCTGCTCTTGGCTTCCATGACTACGTTAAACTATGCAGACCTGAGGACTTTCTACTCTGTGTGCAACTGCTTTCTTCGGTGCCCCTGGGTTTTGGCACCTGCATTTGACAAGAAGGCTGTCCTGAAGAGCTGGGTTCATCTGCTCTATGCTAAATTTTGAAGCAATATTAAAATCTAATTATTTTAATGATGAATGAAGGAGAACTAGTTTCTACAAACTCTATAACTCTAACAATGTTCAACAATATAGCAGGAGAGTTTCAGTTCTGTAATGAATCTGTACTATTTCGTGAGAAGAAGTGATTCCCCAGCACTTGCTTTGTGTCTAGGTGTGTTCCAAGTGCTCACCAAATCCTCGAATAGCTTCACAAGTTAGGCAGAATCACTTCCATGGCATGTTTGAGGAAACTGAGGTCACAATTCCAAACTACTTTATTCTTCCTTTATAAATGGGACTGGTACTGGGACTTCTACCTTAGTAGCTGCTCAGTCAAGATTGTTAGCTCAAATATGAAAGAAGACACATCAAGAGAGGTGAAACCAAACTCAGATGAGCGGGAGAAAAGCAGAAGGTGAAGCTGCTTGAGACAGTGGAGTTCTGGCAAGAGAGAGAAAACTGGAGATGGACAGCACCTGGAAATCAAGGTTTCTGAGTGTGCCATTCAGTACGGTTGTGGGACTAGGGAAGGCAGAGGGATGTGGAAGCCCTGACCAGGATACGAAGCTCTTGCTGTCCTGGGTCCAGGGCCCCAAATGGCTGCCAAGCAGTGAGAGCATCACTCTTCCCTCAGAAGAACCCTGGTGTTGCCTATAGCAGCCCACACTGCCAGGAAGCCTCACCTTGCTGCAGCCTCTGCTGCTCTCTCTGGAGCTGCCTTTGCTCCCTGATCAACAGCTTCAGGTGGAGGAGGCAGATATCCTCTAGACTCTGCAGTCGTTGGCGGAGTCTGGCTTCAGCCTGCTTGGCGATCTTCCTCTCCAGATCCAAGTGCTTATGCAGTGATCCCCTGACTGTACTCCTCTCCATTCTCCTCACTGTCTAGAGACAATACATAGGTTCTTCCATGTACTGCAAACAGTCTGACAGAGCAGGGCCTGCTGTTTGGTCAGGCGGCACTGAAGCCTGTGTGCTTCTGAAACACAGCTGCCCAGTCAGGTCAGGCCCCATTGTCAGAAAACACTGACTAGAGTAGGAGTTTCGAGAATCTAGAAAGATGGGGGTGGGAGATCAGGTCATTTCCCATCCTTGGCCTCCTTGCCTGGAAAACAATCGTAGGCAGAGGGCTCCCTACAAGGCCCAGATCAAATTGCTCTGTGTAAAGATCAGTTGAGAAATGTGAACAGCTCCTTTTGCAGCAGGGAGAGAGTATGTGGATAGAAGCTTTCTACATATACAAGACATTATTCACCCAGAACAAGAAACCCTTCTACTCTTCTCTAAAGATTCCTACTCCCAAAGAGCTTTCTCAGAGACCTGAAGACATCTGAGCACCTAGGCTCAGCCATGCTGGCCCTCAGCTCATTCACTCACACACACGCTCCTTCAGTCTGTGGTTCTGCAGGGGACCAGTTGCCCTCCTGAGGGCTGAGGGCAGTTGTAAGACAGTTCCTACTCTCAAGTAACTTTAAGATTCTCCACTCTGGAGTCTAAAAACTCATGCAAAATCTGAACAATCAACATCTCAAAGAGTGGGCAAAGTGGATCTACAATTGCAAAACAGAACAGCATAAACAATAAGCAATTCAGGTGGAACTGGGGAGTCACTTGGGGCATGAGTTCCTCTTCCACCCTCACCCACCTTCTCAGACTGTAGGTTCTTTCCACCCTTCATGCACCCTGATGCCCAAATCTGCACTAACTTCACCTCAGCCAAACTCAGTGGCACTAATAGGCCAGGATATGTCTTTCCTTTCCTTAGAGATCTTTGAAAAACTTAACTCAGAGCTCAGAGGAGGACATGTGTACAGAACATAAATGAATTGCTATCAATAAGGCTTTGGTGGGAAAACTACAGGAAGAAGGTTAGCATTAAAAGGGAGATGAGGTCAGGCACAAAGCAGCTCAATCTAAGACTCTGCTATACGTCAGCTTGATTTAGAGTCTAAAGCGAAGATTAAACCTTTAGTGACACACATGGTGAGCAGCACTTACCTACAAAGGCAGGGTTCTTACCGCGAGAACAGTGCTTGCTGCTTTCGCTCTGTCAGAGGCAGTCTGGATTAACAAATTTGTTTTATGCTCTGAACTGACAGCCAGGTGTGGGTGGGGGCAAGGGAGCACTGGAGAGGTCTGTGGGCAGTGCTTGGTGCACTGGAAAGCTCTCTCCCTCCCTCCTGTATCCCCCTACCCCATCTGGATCCTGGGGCCATGGGCACCAACCCTGGAAGAGAGGCTCTGAGAGTGCAGGAAGACTGCTGGCCTCAAGCCCTCCCCTAGAGGGGCCACGTGGCTTGTCCTAGCTGTGTCCATGGGAGCCAAGAATGAGGAGTGGCTTCCTGTGTGCACAGGCCCCCTCCCCCAGGTCCTGTCCACCTCGCCCTCCCCTTTTGCCATGCTTCCCTCCCCCCACTCATCCTCCTTCCTGGATACCACATTTGGCCCCTAAAGAAAGCACCATTTTCTCTGCTATGCTTGTGCACATTCTGCACAGTGAGTACGGGAGTGCTGCCTGTGATTATTCTGCACCATTGCATACCACACTGCTACCCCCAGGCTGCTACCCACGTGCAGCACACTTCAGAGCTTCTCACCTCTTCAAGGTCCTGAAAGCTTTGTGCTCATATTTGGACAGCTGCAGGAGAAGGCAGAGTTGGACTGTTGGTTACACAATAAGATACTGAGTGAGATTTTCACTGTTGCCTTGGAGCTACATCCAAAAATAAGAGTCAGTTATATGCCAATCTAAGCCACATAAAAACAGCTGGCCACCAGCCAAACAGGCCCTGCCAACCACCATCACCACACAACAAGCAAGCTGTGTAAAAAGATTACTGGGGAAAGGGACCAAGAGCAATTGCGGGGTGGGGAGGATTGTTTGTTCAGCAGGAAGCAATTCCTTTCCAGTCCTTTCCCAAGAGGTAATTCCCTCACCTCCAGAATTTTTATGGACAGAGTAGAGTTCCAAGAAACTCACCACAAAGAAGAAAGTACCACACCCTGGAAACTGGTCCCCACTGTCCAGCTAGAGACCTGGTGGAATACAGACGATGCAGAGAAAAGGCCCATGGCACCCCGAGTGGCCACGAGAGCCGACATCACACATGGGCCACTGGAAAGCCTCTTTCCTGCCATGTTGTGGAGAGCTGAAGAGGAGAGGCTACAGAAACACCCACTGCTAGAGGGCAGGGAGCCCATGTTGGCCCGACCCATGCTAGGGGAAGTGCTGTAGAGATTCTGGCTCCACATTCCCTGGGATTTGTCACAGGGATTTTGGGAGCAGCAGAAACCAAAACAGCATCATGCATTCCTGTCACTGGGAGGTACTGTTCCAGCCAGAGAGGAAATGGAACCACAGGCAAGGCCAGAGAAAGGGAGAGACAGGAGATCTGAGTGAAGGTGAACTTTCTCAAGAAAACCACACAACCTAAAAGCAGAGGCTATCAGGAGCACACAGAGCAGGCGCAGACAGGGAGGGACAACCAGGCCTCAGCATGAGGACTGCAGCGGCAACACTGAAGAACTATGGTTCAGATCCCACCTATATCTTCAACCCAGACGGGAGCATAGTAGAACTGAAGACACAACAGAGGTGCAGAAAGAAACAAAGAGCAACGGAAATGCTGAATATTAAGGCTTTGTCTCCGTCTTTTCATAGAAAAGAAAATGGACTGTTGAGGGAAAAAATTAACCCTGAAAGGTATACTTTATAAATAGATACAGAAGTAGAAGACACTACCTAGTTGCTCAAAGGATGAATGGTACTAATCACCTGAGTTGAAGAGGAAACCCGGCATGAAATCCACTGCTTTTTTCCATGACGAGGCACAGAAGAGCGCATCCTCCAGCTCTTCTTCTCTTCGGAGTCCATCAGATCTTACTGCCAAAGGCTTCGATACCAGGCTGGGTAGTCTGCTCCCGCTGCTCAACAGAGCCCTTCAGGAATTACTGGGATAGGGAGGCAAGGAGGGACACACAGTGTCCTGGAAGGTGCCAGTGACGTCATTCAAGAGCACTTGGGACTGCAGAGCCCAGCTGTTGAGCAGCCAGAGTAAAGAGCCATAGAACTGAGTCTGATAGGTAGAAGTGGCTGGAGTCTGCAGAACAGAGTATCAGGAAGCCAGTGTGCACATGTGTATACACACACACACACACACACACACACACACACAGTGAGAATGAGAAAGTTGCAGAGAACTGCAGAGGGCTCCCTCTGAGTCTCAGCTGAGTACTGATTTGCTGATGCAAGGGGAAAATCTCCAACAACCTTGGGGAGAAATAAACAGACCCTAGTACATTTATACAATAAGAAGCTACTAGGCAGTAAAAAGAATAAGAGTACTGATACAGGCTAGGAGTCTAGATCTCAGAGCATTCCGCTGAAGCAAAGATGCATGCTTCCTGGTATCAAACACAGTGAGCTCTAGAACATGTAAACTTGAAGGGATATAAAATGCAGATCAGTGGTGTTTATGGGTAAGGCTGACAGCATGGAAGGAAGACACGGTTCCAGTCTACATCCAAGTCTTAAAGGATGAGAGAAAACGTCCTAAAAATATTTTTTATGCTTTTGTTTGCATGAATCTTCATACTTTGTACTGAAAATGGATGAATTTTATTAGATGTACATTGTACCTCAATAAAGCTGGCTTTTAAAAATAATACTGGAATCACTATGAAAAGCCAATTATTTTCAGAAATTACTTTGACAACAACTCACTATCCTGAAAATTTTAAAAAATAATCAAGCATCAGTCCTGTTTTTCCCGTATATGAGCCATATTTTCGGAGATTAAAGAGTCAGAGAGAGAAACATTTTTAGAAGACATAGCTAATAGATGCAAACTCACCATTTTCAGCATCTAATGAGGTGACGGATCCAAGGGACAGTGCTGGTGTTGGAAGCTTAGGTGGAAGGTCCAGGGGAAGCTCCACAATGGAGGTATCAGCTAGCACCATTTGAACCCACCCATCAGTCACAGCATTGCTGATGGAAGGACTGAGGAAATGCCCTTGCATAAAGTAGATCTACCCTGAGTCCAGTCCAATCTCAGATTCTGACTGCCACTTCATAGATTCATGAAAAAAAAATCAGTCAACATGAGAAAGCCAGATCCAGAATGTAGATCATTTCTGGTGGTCAGCTTTTTCATAACTATGGCCAAAAGACCCAACAAGAACAATTTTAGAGGAGAAAAGTTTATTTAGGACTCACAGTTTCACAGGTTTCAGTTCATAGACAGCTGACTCCATTACTCAGGGCCAGAGGGAAGGAAGAACATCATGGTGGATGGATGTGGAGGACGAAAGCAGCTCAGGACATCACACTTGGAAAGAGAGAGAGCTCTCTTCACCACACAAAATATATACCCCAAAGGCACATTCCCATTGACCCACCTCCTCCAGCCACACCCTACCTGCCTGCAGGTACCTCCCAGTTAAACCCCATCAGCAGAATTTTAATGCACTGATTAGGTTAAGGCTTTTATAATAGAGGATGGGCCTGGGATTGGGTTGTCTTGTGAATTTGAAGAATGAAATCCATGGATACAAGGATGAGAGTAAAGTAACAGGATTCATTAGAGTAACAGAAAAAAAGAAAGCAAGAGCTCCCAAAGCAGGAGGAATATGGAAGAGTGGCTTGCCTAAGGGTTTACACGAATCTACAGGACTAAGGGAAGTAGCCTCTACCCAATCCTGGGAAGACTCTCAATATCCACAAGATCTTCATGCACCGTTTGGTCCAAACAAGTTACTGTTCCCCCCCATTTTTGATGGTGGTTTGGATACAAGATAGAGGATGCCCCACTGGCAGTTTTTTTCTGCCTATATAGGAGTCACCCTGACCTGGATGAAGCCTGGTTTGTGTCAGCAGTTTCTCAGCCCTGAATAGAAAACCGGCCTTAAGGGAGCCCAAGGCCCCTGCCTGTTTATTTTAATCCCTTTTCCTGCCTAAGCAACACAATATTTTTACCTCTAAACTTCTTTGCAATGTTTCACACATGAGCTTTTAGGGGACACCTTATATCTAAATCATAATAATTCAAAAGAATTATCTGATATTTCTGGCAAATCAGTAGCAAGAAATTAAAAAGTAAACAAAAGGGCTGGGATTGTGGCACAGTGGTAGAGCTCTTGCCTAGGACTTTCGAGGTCCTGGATTCAATCCTCAGCACCACATAAAAATGAATAAATAAAATAAAGATATTGTGTTGGGGCTGGGGATGTGGCTCAAGTGGTAGCACGCTCTCCTGGCATGTTCGCAACGCTGGGTTTGATCCTCAGCACCACATACAACTAAAGATGTTGTGTCTGCCGAAAACTAAAAAATAAATATTAAAAAATTCTCTCTCTCTCTCGCTCTTTCTCTTTAAAAAAGAAAGATATTGTGTCCAACTACAACTGAAAAATAAATATTTTTTTGTAAAAAAGTAAACAAAAAAGGAGGGGCTGCTTATAACAAAATAATATTGAGAGAAATAAGTACTAAAGTAACGTGTAGCCTGTTTGGATCCTGATCCCCACAAAGCAATTGAAAGCATCTTTGGGTTGAGGGGGAAGTTTGAGCAGAGGATGGATATTAAAAAATATTGAGGGCTGGCGATGTGGCTCAAGCAGTAGCGTGCTCGCCTGGCATGCGTGCGGCCCGGGTTAGATCCTCAGCACCACATACCAACAAAGATGTTGTGTCCGCCGAGAACTAAAAAATAAATATTAAAAATTCTCTCTCTCTCTCTCCTCTCTCACTCTATCTTTAAAAAAAAAAATATTGAGTTGCCCTTGTCAACGGCATTGGGTGTGATAATGGAATCTGTTTCAGTCTGTCCTGGTTACTCTAAAACAAACCAAAAATGAAAATTCATAAACAATGGAAGTTTACTTTTTACTGCTCTGGAAACTGGGAGCAGGAGGTGTGGGCTCCTAGATCAAGAAGACCACATGTTATACCTCACATTCTGGGTGGCACAGCAACTCTGGGGTCTGTTTCTCAGGGCACTTATCCTGTTCAAGAGGATGCCAACCTATGACTGAGTCACAAGTCAAAGGCCCACCTCCTGAACCCACACACTGGTGATGAGGATTCAGCATGTAAACTTGGAAGGGACACATTCAAACCAGAGCATCATGTTCATGTTAATGAAGTATTGTCAGCCCAACACACATACCAGGGGTCTACAGGTGAGTAGGCATTATATGAATCTTGGTTTTGCTATAAAATACTACACAAAGAAATAAAATAATGAAATTAGAACACAAGGGTCTCCGTGCATGGTGACAGGAATACTGCAAATGCTAACTATAAAGTCAAGAGGTAGTTTGAAAGCATGTTCTGATTTGGAGGATATTTTAAATTCCCCATATAAAAATCTGAA